TGCCATTTTACTGTTGCAATATTGATGAAAATAATTATACAGTATATGCATATGTTGTATGTAATGGAGGTAATTATATACCAAGTGTAGAGGAAATGGTACTCAAACATTATTGGTGGCAGTATAAGAATAGTCCATTTGGAAGGCAATCAAGAGCCTAGAAATTTAGAGGTTTTGATCCAGGAATCCCTTTCCTGGGAATTCCAAGGAAATCCTTTAAAAAGACAAAAGAAAACAAAGCTAAAAGTGTTCATAGCTCACGTTTATAACAGTATAATTTGGAAATACCCTTCATATCCAACCATGAGGCACAAACTAATTGTGGCCAAAAAAAAGAGATTTTGATATTGATTAAAGGGAAAATAGGAAACCGAATCCCTGCAGCTGTTATACCTGAGCACAAATGTAAGCCAGCAGTGTCCCTGGGTAGACATCAGCAAGGCACATGGAAATGATGTGGGGCTGTGACTTTTCCTTTGTTTGGAAATAATCTGGAAGACTTTGCAAACATATTTAACTGGAGCTTATGTTGGAACATTGGGGCCATTTTGTCTCAATTTGCAATTTAAAAGAATTCCTGAAGTGAAAATTAAAATTGCACACAGTACAGATATGTTTGAATAAATGCCGGCTCCCTCCCCCACCAAATAAAAAGGTCACTAGATAGTTTGGGGTGTGTGCTTCTCAGATTTTTCCAGTGCACATTTATAGTTGGCTTGTTTTGTTTTGTTCTGTACAGACTGAAATACCGCTCATCTCTGAATGACGTTTCATCTCAAGAACCTTTTTTTCATGTCATGACATAGAGAATTCCTTCATTCTTGGCTTTGGCACTTATTTTAAATTCAGCAAGTATGCTTAAGAGTAATTTAGATAAGATGAAAATGACGAAGTTTGCCACTCAAGTGAAGCTTCTTAAAGGTTAACATTCAGAGCTCAGATCACAAATGGTTCTCTGAGAGTTGAAGTGGTTGCTGTGATGTATTTTAGGGCTGAAGCCTACAGGACAGTGTCATATTTATACCCTCAGGAAAATTTAGAAGGTGCTGAGGCTCCTTGAAAGGTTGTGAGGTAGGGTGAGGTATAATCCAAAGGTGTTAATAACTGGACCCAGTGTTGTTCTTGGCCAGAAAGTGAGACTGCTCTGTTCCCTCGGTCCCCTGGAGAGTCAGCCCTGGGCTGAACTCCACCCTACTTCTTTGCTGCTGGTAAACTGGAGCAAACGACCATTTTCAAAGCAGCTAAAGCCTCAGTTTCTCAGCTTCTCTACTAAGTGGGAATGAAAGTATCTACTCACAGCGTTGTGTGAATTAAAGAGAAAATGTATATAAAATGCTTGGCAAAATACGTGCTAACTACTAACATTCACAATTTCCTTAATTTTGAGATAACTTTGATTATAACAGCACCAAAGTTTTTAAAAAAATATTATTGATTTCAGAGAGGAAGAGAAAGACAGAAACATCAGCAAGAGAATCATTGATTGACTGCCTTCTGCACACCCCCCACATTGGGGCTCGAGCCTGTAACCTGGGCATGAGCCTAGACTGGGAATCAAACCATGACCTGGTTCATAGGTCAACACTCAACCATTGAGCAACACTGGCTGGGCTGCACCATCAATTTAATATCATCTTTTAAGAAAATAGAAAAAAATAAACACCACATAGTAATGAACACATATTGTATCGGTGCATTAAATACCTATCCATTTTAAAAAATGTCAGTGTGAGCAAAAATTACATTCTCCAATGTGGGGAGGAAGAAATATTATTCAACCCTTAAGGGGTCTTCCTGCTGGTCTAATAATTAAATAGAAGACAGAATAACAAGAGAAAATGAACAAATTTAATTACATGTGTATGTATGGGAAACCCACATACATGAGAGAGTTAGAGACCCCACATTCATAAGAGGTTCAAAGACAGAAAGGGGAAATGAGATTATGGCATTCTGAGCCAAGGATGAGGTGGGGCACTTTATTATAGGGGAGCATTTTAATCATTTTTTATTTATTTGTAGAAGCGGTTTATTTGAAGCACTATTCAACATATAAAAACTGCATATGGTCTTACTTTCCACTCATACAGTGGTAAATTTTATATAATGCATAGTAAAAACTTTTAAAATTCAGATTGCACAAAGTACTGCACAATTTGGTCACGAAGTCATTAGTTGATAAGCAAACCTTACAGAATGGCTTCATGTCATCCAAGGCCACAAACACTGTGTACAGCACACTTGAACTGACAGACGTCAACATGGTAAAAATACAGCTTCAGTGCACACATTGGGGATGCTTCTCATCGCTCTTCCGATTTCTTTTCTGAAATCTTGCCTTTCTTTCCACAGTGCTTAGAAAGCTATTCACTGTTGTGGTTCATGGTATTGAGAAACAGACTTAGTGCTGCAATACAATGGGAAAGGAGGTCTTTGGGTTATGGAACATGAGTGGCAAACATTATCTGTAATTGTCTCTTACTCACCTTTCTCATGTTTTTAAAATTGCTTTTTCTGCACATCACAATCTCATTTCCCTTTCAGACTTCCTTTGCTTCAAGCTCCCACTTCCTAAGCAAGCACAGAAAGTGGTGAATGTATTTCTCTCCTGTTTCCTACCCCTTTTAAAAAGATTTGGGTCAACTGTAATTGAGGAAGTCTTCTTGGGTCCTTTCTTTTCCTCTGGATGGACTTACAGCCTTCCACTCTGTGGTGTATTTTTGTTGTTGTTTATTGATTTTAGAGAAGAGAAAGGAGGGCAGAGAAAAAGATATCAATTTGTTGTTCTACTTATTTATGTATTCATTTGTTGCTTCTTGTATGTGCCCTGACCGGGGATTGAACCCGTGACCTTGGTGTATCTGGGTGATGCTCTAACCAACTGAGCTACTTGGCCAGGGCAACTGGGGTATATTTTGTATTTCATCTTTCCTGCCAAGTCTGTAGGCAGAAATAGTAGGTTTCAGTTTCTTTCCCAGGCTGTCAGCTACTGGTGTCTCTGGTTATTCCCCCAGGGGAGAAAAACCACCAGAACAGAAAGAAATGAGTACTATTTCCAGCAATGAATGAAATACGAAAGTTAATTACTCAACATTTTGTCCCAAAGTAGTGTAATAAGTAAATGAAAAAACCTATCTGAACCTTTTCATGCCATTAATTCAGACATAGAGAACCACTCCCCCCCCCCTTTTTTTCCTTTTGCGTGTGACCACATAGGTGAAACCTAGTTTAACTTAATTTCATCTAACTTAAAATTAGGTACAGGGTATTAAGAAACATAAAATTTATTTTAATATTTAATCCAGTATATTCAAATTTTTAATCATTTTCCTATGTAAGCAGTATAAAAATTATTAATGCAGTATTAAAATTACCTTTAAAGTGTCCAATGCATGTTCTCTAATACAACAGTAATGTCTAACACAATGCAGCCATCAAGAAAAATGGAGTCCCATCAAAAGAATCCAATATAAAGACACTTGTACTGCTTCAATTTTAAAAATTTAAAAAGTTAAAAATGGTCACCTCAAGGGCTATGCTGTTCAATCCTGAAGCCACTAGTCACATGTGGCTATTGAACACTTGAAACGTAGCTAGCCTGACTTAGGTAATGAACTCTAGGTTGAAATAGTTTACCCTCAGAATTTTAAGCTCAATTTTGAACTCTCTGGCATTCCAAAGAGAGGATAGATGTTACATTTTGTTCTATTTTATTAAGCTATTTAAATATAGTTGTCAAGGTTGCTGTTAAGAAGCCTAATTCCATTTAAAGTTTTTGATCCTTTGGATTTATTAGCATCACCTCTTAGAAGCTTGTAGGATCTTCTTTTGCTCAGTGTTCTGGAATATCACTAGATATTTTCTTGGTTAAGATTGTTTTTAATCTATTGTGATGGACACCAGTAGGGCTCTTTCAATCTGATAAAACCTGTGTTCTTCATTTCCATCAAGTCTTTCTTTGATGAATTTTCCCCTTTGTTTGCTTCTTTCCCTGTTATTTGAATACTAATGGCCTGGTGCACGAAATTTGTGCACATTAAAAAGGAATTAATTAGAGGAAATATTTTAATATTGCTATTTTGTTTCCATCTCTCCATCCCAGTCTCTCTCTCTCTTTGTTTTTCTCAGCAGTCCTCCAGGCCTCCCTGCCTCCATCCCTCCCTCTTCCTCTTTCCCGGCTGGGAGGGGGTGGGGCCAGTGGGGGCAGCTCCACCTTCTGCCCGCCTGGGGCCTCATTCTGAGAGAGTCTCCAAGAGTGATGTGGGAAGGAGGGAAAGAAAGGGAGAAAAGGCTGTGAGCTGGTGGGTGCTGTGTGTGTCTGTGGGTGTGTGCGGTTGTGAGTGAGTGTGAGTGCTGGCCCTGCCTCCCCGGCCTTGGCTTTGCTGCCACAAATCCCCACCCGCCAGAGCCTGCTGCTCGCACAGCCTGCGCGTTAGGTCAAGCCTTCGGTTGGTTTGGATGTGATAAACCCTGGCTCTTTATATATATATAGATATATAGATCGGATATAACAATCTATATATATAAATCTATAAGCTATATATATATATAGCTTTAACAACTTTAATTTCTAATTCTTCAATTGGGTGTTTTCATTTCAGTTATCATATTTTTGATCTCTAAAAACTCATTTTTTGTTCTCTGTTTCTTTTTCACAGTGTTCTATTTTCATGACTGTAATAGTTTATCTTATGTCTCTGCAGATAATGTAGATAATTTGGTTGTTGAAACTTTTCAACTCTTTGCTTGATCCTAATTTCTCCATGTAATAGAATATTTAATGGGTCCAAATTCCTCCCATCATAGTATATATGTTCCTTAACAATATGACTTAGCTTCTCTTCTTATCTAGTACCTTGTTTCCTTTTGAATTGTGACTGGTCTGGTGGCTTTCTGTAACTAATAGAATATGACAGGGGTGTTGTGCATTTTCTAGACCAGGGGTCCTCAAACTGCGGCCTGCCGAAAACATTAATCCGGCCCGCCGGGTGTTTTTGCAGCCACTGCCTGTTGCTTAGTAGCTGACTTGTCCCGGGCCCGCAGTGCGCTCGTGTGGAATGTGCGCCACACTCTACGACTCCCCTCCGTCTCTCTGTCTCTCTACTCCTCCTCTCAGTCTCGGGTGTGATCGGACGAGTCAGGAGCTTGCCTGCTGCTGCCCGAGGACCGAGGTAAGAACGAGTTAGGATTTATTTTATTTTGAAGTTAGGAGGTCTATTTTTTTGAAGTTAGGAGAGCCTTTTTCCAGAATGAAACATCTGAAATCTCCAACCAGATCTAGACTAACTGATGCACACTTGCATCACTTGTTACGACTAGCAGTGACAAATATGGAACCGGACATTTACCATCTCATTAGCCAAAAGCAGGCCCATAGCTCCCATTGAAATACTGGTAAGTTTGTTGATTTCATGTTACTTGTTCTTCATTTTAAATATTGTATTTGTTCCCGTTTTGTTTTTTTTACTTCAAAATAAGATATGTGCAGTGTGCACAGGAATTTGTTCATAGTGTTTTTTAAAGCTATAGTCCGGCCCTCCAACGGTTGAGGGACAGTGAACTGGCCCCCTGTTTAAAAAGTTTGAGGACCCCTGCTCTAGACCTTAGGCCTTACTAGGCTTTGGAGCTGCTGTTCGTTTTCTTGGAATGCTGCCCGGAGGCTGTCTGGTAAAGGAGCTGGTCTAGTCTACTGGAGGATGAGGGGCACCCCCGCTGACTTTCAGTACCAGGTGTAGGCGAGCCATATTGAACCCTCCAATCTAGACAGCCCTCCATCTGAACGCAGCTGCCTAGATGAGCCCAAGTGAAACCAGGAATACTGCCCAGCCAACTCTGAAAGTAGTGAGAAATAGCCCTGGCTGCTGTGGTTCAGTTGGTTGAACATCATCTCATGCACCAAAAGGTTGCCTGTTTGATTCCTGCTCAGGGCACACGCCCGGGGACCGGGGCTGCAATTAGAGTGCATGTGCGGTGAGAAATAAGTCACTAAGGATTGTGGTTGATTGCATAGAAATAGTTAACTGATACCCTCCCTAGTTTTATGTGTGTGTATTTTTCTGTTTGTTTCCATCTCTTTTGGGTCATGAGCTAATTCTTGGATAGCTGGCAGTTCTCTATTTTCTGAGGCATAAGCCTGGGAAGAATAGGCCTGCCTGCCAATATTCTGGAACAAGTAAGTTTGACTTAATTCCCCGGTTTTTCAGGTCTGTATTCCTGCTCTCAGCTGTGCCTTGTGCCCTCCAGGTTGGATGTCCTCTGTTTTACATTTTCCAGTCTTCTGCTGGGGCCAGGAAGGGTATTTAACTGGTTTTGATGAATAGGGGAGGGGCCTGGGAGTTTTAACTGCCTCTTAAATAGAACTTTTAACCAGTCATTAGTTTTTAACGCCACTTTACCGCTGCTTCCAGAGGAATTGTGCTGCCAACTTCGGAGCCTTTGGAGGAGGGTGGTGATTGTTGTTGGGGAGGAGGGGGTGGAAGCTATAATTTGGATTTGTGCTTTTGTGCTGTAAATTGTAAAGCTTTCCCTGCTTTAGGATTTGGCTTTATGAGGTCGCCCAGCCAGTGACCATTCACCCTTCTGGCTTTCAAAATTTTGATGTAATTTCCTCGATTATATTCTTTGTGTTTGAGGGGCTTGGGCTTTTTTTAAAAAAATCACTTAATCATTTCATCTTTAAACAGGTCCCACTCTCTAAATAGGCTACTCCTTGCTGCAAGTGTAGAGAACCAGAAACAACTCTTCTCTGACATTCAAAGGGAGAGAGGACAAATGTTTAGTTTTTAGCAGAGGAACATGGAAAGAGACTTATTCATTCAACAATTATCTGTGCCACATTCTGTGCCTGGCTCTGGGATGTGAGGGTCTGAAGAAGAGAGACATGGTTTGGGCCACCCTCTCCCTTCATCACACCCCCATCTAGCTTTAGCTGTAATACCTGATTTCATGGAGAAAGCCCCCTTTTTGTGCTGGCTATCGAAGACCTCTTATTGCCAATATGTCCTTGGCTGGAGCCCAAGAAAACTCTGGAATGAATTTGAGGACATAATGGCCTAAACTGTGAAGCCTGGTATTTTTAACCATGGTGCTCAGTTATGAGGAACCCAGGGCTTTTCCTGGCCAGTCCAGAGGGGCCGGCATGGTTGGGGTCTTGGTTTTGTTTCAATGGGAGACCTCAGACATGCCAGGCAGTTCACCACAGGGAGTCACCAAGGGCCGCACACACTATCCTCCTGGCATGGCAACCCAGTGGATGGGAACAGAGACCAAGTGCCCCCAGAAGAGGTGAGGCCACGGAGGCCCAGATGGTGGAAAGACCACCCTGAATGGCAAGGGGTTGTTTTGGTGTCTGAGCTGCTCCCTGCTCTCTCCCTTGGTCTGTTTTGGGTGGCATTTGGGCACCTTACTTGAGTCAGGATCCTCGGAGGTATTTGCATGGCTTTGGCATCAAGCACAGTAAGTGGGTATTTTGCTCCAGTCACAGCAGCCTCTGGGCCACAGAACAATAGTCCTTGGAGAGTCAGTGAAATTGAGCCCTGGAAGAGTGTTCAGTGGGACTAACGGCCAACTGACCTAACTTAGACCACGCTTCCTGCTGCACCAGGGCAATGGGTCGTGGACCTGATGTAACCATCCACCTTTTCTATGCATTCCTGTGCAGACACACGGATGTGTGCGTATATGTGTGTGCACATGCCTATGTACTTTTTAAAGAAAGAATACTTCTACTTTAAAAAAAAAAAAGGAAATTAGGCAGTTGGTGGAGAAAATCATTCTTCTCTCTAATACCTTTGTTTGGACTTAAACCGGAATAACTTCGATGGGAATTGTTGAGAAGAGTTTATTATTTTGAATTCTACCCCTTTCCTTACAGTTGACAGTATATCTGCCAGCTTTAACTTTCATAAAGGTTAAAGCTAATCCGCGCAGAGCCCTTCCTATCTTGCTTCTTGTCTAGAAGCTCAGGTATAATGAGAGGCTGAACAGGAAAATCCTGATTGATTGTTCTTAGAGGTATGTATGTGTGTATGTGTAGTCCTCTAAATACGTTAAATTCCTCTCTTCAGGTTCTGAATATGTTATGTCATACTAACATATAACAAAATACATATTATTCCCTCCTGCCTCCCTCTTCCTGCTTTGCCTTCTTTTTATTATTAAAAAAGGAATTATGAAAAGTATAGCCCGAGCCACATGTAGCTCGTTTCTTTAAACATTTCTTTCATTTTCTTCTCTGTATGGTGATATTTCTCTAAATTAAACTAGTAAGTGTGTGACTGTGATGAATATCATCTTTTAGAATTGGTTCATTTTAAAATATAGAGATGTACTAATCATGTAGTAGATTTTAATTTTGAAAACCTCTATAGCTTTCAGTTTTTTACATTAGTAAAAATAGGTAATGTTTCTTACCTATTCCAAGCTGAAATCTAGATTTGCTCATCAGTGGTTCTTGAACTTCTCTTACACATATCTCATATGCTGATCTCTGTGAAAACAATCCTGTACTGACTTGTACTGTTTTCCTCCACTGTGTTTTTTCTGTCTGATCCTCGCCATTTTGAGCTGTTGAAGACGGGAGGTGGTGAAATAAACTTAGAAAGAGGCCTTTCGCTTGGAGCAGCAATTCCAAACATCCCCACGCCCAGTTTTGTGATGCAAAGTATACAACCCTTTTCTTTCCACACCCATCTTTCCCATTGCTCTGTGCCCTCATATGGTTTATGAATCTTGATGGGAAAGGCGGTATTTACATTATTAAGACTGATGCTCACCCTAGCCAGTTTAGCTTAGTGGATAGAGCATTGGCCTGCAGATTGAAGCGTCCTGGGTTCGTTTCCGGTCAAGGGCACGTACTTAGGTTGCAGGCTCTATCCCTGGTCCTGGTTGGGGCACGTTTGGGAGGCAACCAATCGATGTGTCCCTCTCACGTCAGTGTTTCTTTCTCTCTGCCTTTCCACTTCCCTTCCACTCTCTCTAAAAAAACCCACAAAAACAAAAAAACACAATGGAAAAATATTCTTGGGTAAGGATTAACAACAACAACAACAAAAAGACTGATGTTCTTCAGAGCTAAGCCACGGAGTATAATGTGCGTGTTATATGCATATAATAAATCTTAGTTTCTCTCATAATCATAACTAGGATTTACTAATATAGAAAGTAACACCTTAGCCATTCAAACCATGAAATTTTAGATGAGGAAAAGACCGTAGGTTCTTTTGGAGTCAATAGTTATCTTCGCAACCCCCTTCATTTGCTTTGTTTCCAATGTATTTATTACAAACTCACCCCCCAAACTCTGCCAGCTGTTTAAATCAGTGCTTCATGTTTATCTCCGTCAGTTTCATCTTGGAGATACTGCTCCCAGGGCCTTCTGATCTGCTCAAAGCCTGCTGTGGTTGTCTGATGGCCTGCCACAGCCTAGGATGCTCCTTTACTATCACCCTGGGGTTTCCTTTTCTTCTTCTTATGGTTGATACCCTTTCTGATTCTGGTATTTTCCCCTTTCTTGATTTATACTTTAGTTTTGATGGAGCTCATGCTCCAGTATCTTCCTGAGAAAGGGTGCATAAAGTGAAATATTTTGAGACCTTGCCTGTCTTAAAATGTTTTTACTTAACCCTAAATTTATTTAGTAGTTGTATGGTTTTAAGAATTCTTATCTGGAATTCAATTGCCTTCAGCACTTTGAAGGCATTGATCCATTATCTGGCTTCTGTGGTTGATTTTTATGAAACATGAAGACATTTTCTGCTTCAAATCCTTTTTATATGGTTTATTTCCCCCCCATCCCTCCTGGAAACCTAATTGAGCCACACCAGTCTGGCTCTTTTCTCATCTGAGAATATTATTAGTTTTCTTTTTCCTGTGCACGGTCTGTTTCCTTTGAACATTTTTGGAGAATTCCTAACGTAAGCAACATATTTAAGTCTCAACCTTGTTGGATTCCCTAGTAAATAGATTTCTGTGTTGGCTTGACTGCCTAAGTTCTAGGGGCTGATAGCTGGAAATAGGGAATGAGATTTCAATAGTTATTGTCTTTTTGTCCTTGGGTTCGCTTAGTTCCACTGTTTCCTGATTGGGAACCCTGCTTTCCATTATGCTTGCTGTGCCCCAGCCTGGAGAACTTCTGCAGTAGCTAAATGCTGGGTCTCTGTCAGGTTTTGTGGCAGACACCCAGTTGTTTTCTAAACAGCTGCCAGTCAATACTCTTAAACACACACACACACACACACACACACACACACACACACACACACACCACCCCACAACACTCCCAATCCCCACTGGTATCTGTGCCAACATTTCCCTGAACCTTTTGAAGATCCTGTAGCATAAACAGAGCTGGTTCTTTCTTTCCTTACTGTTAAGCCTGGGATTCCCAGGTCCGTTCAGTCAGTTGCCTTTCATCCATCTGCTTCTCAGATTTTACTTGCTGCCTCTTCTCTCACTTTTCCGAGGTCCTTTTGTCTGCCCTCCCACTCCAGTGAGTACTCAACTGCACCCTAAGGCTGACTGATTGGAGCTGTCCACTTTATATTAGAACGCTTCTAGTGACCGTAGTTACGTCAGGTGCATTTGATACTTTTCTTCTCGTCCCCTTCCTGGACTAGCTTTCCTTGTTACTAGCATTATAAAAAAGCAGAGTTTATTTTCAGTATTTATAGAACTTAGTATTCTTGTGCTGCTTGGTTTTAATTTCAAAAAGCCACGAATTAAGAACCATTGCCTTTAGGTACTGGTTTCCCTTCTTTTCTTTGGTGAAATTCTTTTCTTCCGCCGTTTCTTCTTAGGTTGTGTTTTTCTACTTAAAAAATACTCATGGCAGGATTCACAAGGAAGTCTTCTCTTTCAGGAGAGGCATGGGTGTTTTAGTGCAGGATTTTCTCCAGGGCACTCACTAAGACAGTTGCCAAGTCCTGAAGTAGATTGTTGGTGAGGAAGACTTGGTGTGTGTATTTTTCTTACTCTTTCAGAATTCATGAGCTTTTGTATTTAGAGTGGTTCTTATTCTTCAGTCATTGGCCTCATTGACTATTCTCACCCCATATTCTTCAAGGGATCTATGTTCTTTATGAAATCAATGTGAGAGAAACATCAATCGGTTGCCTTCTGCACACACCCTGACTGGGGATTGAGCCCTCAATCTGGGCATGTGCCCTGACTGGGAATTGGTACATGGGATGACACTTAACCAACTGAGCCACACCAGCCAGGGCCAGTTATTGTACTTACAATTCCAGATTTCTATTGGTCCTTTTTTTTTATTTTATAATTTCTATCTTTTTATTGATATTCTCAATTTGGTTAAATATTATTCTCATACTTTTAGTTTAGTTTAGTTTTGTTTTTTTTTTAATTCTCTGAACATATTTATAAATAGCCAACTTAAAGTCTTTCCTCTGTCCAACCTCTGGGCTTTCTCAGGGACAGGTTTTATTACTGCTTTTTTCTTGTGTGGCCAGAGTTTATGTTTCTTTCTTTTTTTAAATATATTTTTATTGATTTCAGAGAGAAAGGGAGAGGGAAAGATAGAAACATCAATAATGAGAGAGAATTATTGATTGACTGCCTCCTGCATTCCCCCTACTGGGGATTGAGCTCACAATCCAGGCATGTGCCTGCCATTGACTGCAATCGAACCTGGGACCCTTCAGTCTGCAAGCCGACACTCTATCCACTGAGCCAAAACAGCTAGGGCTCATGTTTCTTTATGTGCCTTGTAATTTTTGTTGTTGAAAGTAGACATTTTACAATGTGTCAACTCTGGAAATCAGACCTCTACCCCTGCTCTACCTGGGGTTTGGTGTTGTTGCCGTTTGTTTGTTTAGTGGCTTTCCTGAGTTAATTTTCTAAACTCTATATTCTTTGTTGTGTGAGGCCACTTAAGTCTCTGTTCAGTTAGCTTAGAGGTCTCCTAATGATTAGACAGAGATTTCTTCAAATGCCTTGAACCAATAAGGAGCAGGACTTGCTTAAAGGAATAATTTGTTTAGGAATCTGAAGTTTTAATGGTTGAGATGGTTATGTATTTTACCAGGATTTCCCAGTTCTTGCTTTCTAGTAGAGGATTGGAGTAGGGTGGTAGACAAGATAGTTGGAAGAAGATGAGGAAATCAGCTAATTCAATTTCAGGACTATCTTTAATGAGCCAGTGAGCATTGGGCACCTTCACAGTAGGGATAGGATATGTTGGATTTTCCAATCATATTGGACCATCAAACTATTCCTTGACACACACTTTGGGACATACTACTAGAGTTTTCATTGAAAGTACTTGAACTAAATTGTGGGGTGTTTTCAAACCTTTAGCAAGCCACAAACATAGCACTGGAAAAATAAGACTAGAGAGAAGGACATGTTAAAATGAGAAGTCAGCCAGCCATAATTTTGAGGGGGAAAAATAGTGAATTTGTAGGATTAGTTCATCAGCATGCTTACTGAGTGTCTGTATACTTATGTGTGCATTACATTCCTTCATGCTTGTCCCTTTTCGTTTCACAGATTTTTTTAAAGCCTCATGGGACATAACCATTGCTGGATGCCTGGTAGAATTAAGAAACCTGACTGCATGAGAGGCACTCTACATGTGCGAGAATGTTACCTGACTCAAAGAACTAAATGAGTCACACTTTCCTTAATTATAAATGGTAAAAAAGAAAAATATATATATAAGCACTTATTTTAACATTATACTAATAGTTGTCAATTATTTATTTTTATTTGTATGATTAATATTCACAATTTATTTCCTAATTAAGTATTTAAAAGTTCTAGTGCCAATTCTGGTGTTGAAAATAAGTTTTAAAATCTCTATAAATCTGATATGGAGGTACTTGATGGTAGTTGGTTTTGTTAGAACAGTAGCACTTAGTTATAGAATGAATTGCCAGGTTATAAAATTGAGTTTTGACAATAAAACAATATTTAAATATTTGTAAACATTTTATATAATTAAAGGTGAGTTAGGCCTGGCCAGGTAGCTGCTCAGTTGGTTAGAATGTCATCCTGATACGCCAGGGCCTGATCTCTGGTCAGGCCACATGTAAGAATCAACAGCAAATGCACAGCCAACTAGAACAACAAATAAATGTGTTTTTTTGTGTGTGTGTTTTTTTTTTATGTCTCTCACTCCCTTTCTCCTTCTCTCTCTCAAATCAATTTTTAAAAAAAGTGAGTTGGGTTCCTGGAATTTGAATAGAGACATAAATTTTGTCCTAAATTACAATTTGTGTACCACTTTTATTCTCCGAAAGTCTTAATTATTATAACCTGTTATAATCAATGCAAGAAATGCAAACCTGTCTCTCTGTTCTGAATTGGTGAGTGTTTTCTTCCTTTGATGCCTGGCGTAGAACTGAACTAAATGAAGTCATCCAAAACAGTTCCAAATGTGGCCTGATTTTAGCTGAGCTTTTCTGGTCCAGTTTGAAAATTCCATTGACAAGCTTTTCCTTCAAAGTTTCCTTAGAAGTTACAGCCATTTTTGAACATCTCCTAAGTGCATCCCCAATCCTAAATTGGAGAAGATTTGAATGGGTCTGATCTCTTCAAATATTTGGGCCTGTTGATGTCAACTGATGGGCATTAATGGACCTGTCAGTAAGAACCCAGATTAGTAATAATTTCAAGGTAAGGGGTGCTAATTAGAACTGGCACAGGATCAAAAACCCACCAGCTATGGAGAGTTCAGTACGTATAGCCTAGGTCAGTGATGGCGAACTTATGACACTCGTGTCAGAGGTGACATGCGAACTCATTTTTTTGGTTGATTTTTCTTTGTTAAATGGCATTTAAATATATAAAATAAATATCAAAAATATGTCTTTGTTTTACTATGGTTGCAAATATCAAAAAATTTCTATATGTGACACGGCACCAGAGTTAAGTTAGGGTTTTTCCACTGAGCCAAACCGGTTAAGGCAAGTTAGGGTTTTTCAAAATGCTGACATGCCGAGCTCAAAAGGTTCGCCATCACTGGCCTAGGTCTTCAACTGTGCTCTACACTTAGAGGTAAAATGCTTATTGTAAGATATTTTAGCACATCCTTATACTCGGTTTTTTTGTTTGTTTTTTTTAAAACAATGTGGCATTAATACAAGAGACTGTGGGTTTCTATTACAATACCCCTTTTCCTTTGCTTGACTCACTGTATTTATTTTAAAAACCTGACCTCATAGCAAAGAGGATAGTTTTGAGCCTGAGAAGATGTCATGGAAGACTGTACTTATAGGTATCCTTTCTGTTTTCTTCTAGTTCTTGCTCTTTTCCACTTAAAGATGCCTTCGCACTTCTGATAAATGGAAACCGAAAACTCACAAGGCCACGGCAGAGATAAAATCATTACTGCTGGAAACCTGGAAGACTGCCCTTAGAAAAAGGAAAGTCCCCGATTGTTGTTGGAAATGCTAAGGAAGTTGCTGAGGAGGAGACTTTTTTCTTATCCCACTAAATACTACTTCTTGTTTCTAGTTTTTTCCCTCGTCGCCTTCTCTGTTTTAAGAATTTATCAAAAGCCCGAATTTCTGAGCATTGAACATTTGGATCTAGTTGGAGAGAATCCTAATAGTAATATCAACTGCACCAAAGTTTTACAGGGTGATGTGGCCGAAATTGAAAAGGTAAAGCTGGAGATTCTGACAGTGCAATTTGGAAGGCGCCCTCGATGGACAACCCATGACTATATAAACATGACTAGTGATTGCACTTCTTTCATCAAGAGACGCAAATACATTGTAGAACCTCTTAGCAGAGAAGAGGCAGAGTTTCCAATAGCATACTCCATAGTGGTTCATCACAAAATTGAAATGTTTGACAGGCTCCTGAGGGCCATCTACATGCCTCAGAATTTCTATTGCATTCATGTGGACAAGAAATCGGAGGATTCCTTCCTGGCCGCGGTGACTGGCATTGCATCCTGTTTCAGTAACGTCTTTGTGGCCAGTCAGCTGGAGACTGTGGTGTACGCATCGTGGAGTCGGGTCCAGGCCGACCTCAACTGTATGCGGGACCTCCACAAAAGAAACGCAGGCTGGAAGTACCTGATCAACCTTTGCGGCATGGATTTTCCTATTAAGACCAATCTGGAAATTGTCAGGAAGCTCAAGTCACTAATGGGAGAAAACAACCTAGAGACGGAGAGAATGCCGTCCCATAAAAAGGAAAGGTGGAAAAAGCACTATGTAGTGGTGGACGGAAAGCTGACAAATACGGGGACTGACAAAGTGCAGCCTCCTCTTGAAACGCCTCTGTTTTCGGGCAGTGCTTATTTCGTGGTCAGCAGGAAGTACGTAGAGTATGTGCTAGAGAATGAAAAAATCCAGAAGTTTATGGAGTGGGCGAAAGACACCTACAGCCCGGACGAGTATCTCTGGGCCACTATTCAGAGGATCCCTGAAGTCCCTGGCTCACTGTCCTTAAGTCATAAGTACGACATGTCCGATATGCAAGCAATTGCTAGGTTTGTCAAATGGCAGTACTTTGAAGGTGACGTTTACAAGGGCGCACCCTATCCACCCTGCAACGGGGTGCACGTGCGCTCCGTGTGTGTTTTTGGAGCAGGTGACTTGAACTGGATACTGCGCAAGCACCACTTGTTTGCCAATAAGTTTGACATGGACATTGACCTCTTTGCCATCCAGTGTTTGGATGAGCATCTGAGGCTTAAAGCCCTGGAGACGTTAAAACACTGACATTTACTGTAGGCAATTTTAGAAATAATAAGGCGGCTACATGAGATGTATCCCATCTGATTCTTCGGCTTTAGGGGTTTAGAGCAGGGACTCTAAATCTTCTTTTCAGAGAATTCACATAGTCTCTGCAGAGCACAGCCGGTTAGAAAGGTTATGGCATTAAACCTTGACTTAGAGTTAATGTGAGGCCAAGGCAAGTTGCAAGGCATTGTGGGGAGAGGTGACCCAGGTGGCCCCGAAGAGGCCCAATGCAACAACCAGCCTGTTAAAAGAGCTCAGGGACTTCACAAAATGATAAGATTTAACCTGTGCCAAAATTGCTTTGAGAGCTTTTAATATGCCAGTCTTCCCAGTTTGAATAAATTTATAGCAGCAACCAATCAAGAGGGTATAATTTATTTTGTAGGTTCTATTTGTTGAATTAGAAAATTGACATTACTGTAAATGATTCTTGTGAATATAATTTACTGTCTGCTGCAACATTGTGCTGTGTATTGTATCTATGTCATCTCAGGGAACTTGGAAAAAACGGGCTTGACTGAATGTAAATGTTTCTGAGTAATTTTTACTTCTACCAATGTATGTATGTTTTTAAAAACAAAAAAAAACCTGGCAATTTCTGGTTTAGTTGATTCTATGAATCATCTTAGATTATTAGAAAAGATATCTTAGGTTATTAAAAGAGTTAAGATATCTTTAGGATGATAGTTTCTACAGAGTAACACTCAATTTTGAAAATATTTGTCTCTCTACTGCTCTCCGCCATCTCTAGACTCTGCTATCAAGCTATATAAAAACTTGCTTTTCATTACCCCATAGTACCGCCTCAGTTCTAGTATATGAATCGATTGACAGTAATTAGTGTAGATAACTAAGACAGAAAGGTATGGAGGGGGAGGAGTCATATTTTGCCCATTTCTGAGGCCCACGGTGAGGGTTAAAAACCAGCAGTTGGCACTGTCCCCAGAAATGAAGGCTGTTGCTCTTTGTCTCTATCCAACCTCCCAGAGTCTTGCATCCTAGTGTCCCCTATATCTCCATTTGAAAGAAACTGGTTTCATTGTCCTTGCTTCTTCATGTCACCTGCCCATTGGTCGCTTCTTAGCCCTTGGGTATGTTTCTCTCTCTCAGAACCTATGAGGAAGGAAGAGGTGTTCTGTTGGTCTACTGCACAGCCTGGGAATCTGAAAGGAGCCATTAGGTTTGAGGCGGATTATTTCAGTATCGGTATTACTCAGAGCATATGATTTTTCTCTACTTTTTCACCAAAAAGACAGATAATTTGAGGTTGCTATTTGCTGTCTCATCTCAAAGTAAATGAAGATATTTAAAAACAACAACAAACCTGCTCTTTTGCTAAGCTGATACTGTTCAGCCGAAGAGCTAACAAGAAATGTGACTTTAAACAAAAATCAAACCATGTACTTTATTTTTAAAGCACAGCCAACTTAAATAATATATGAGAAATTCATAATGTCAGTTTTCAGGCCTTCCACTGAGAAAAAGTTTTTATTCCTCAAAGTTAGAAAACATTTTCATTTTATCGAGAAGTTTGTTATACTGACTGTCCTAAACAAAAGTTTCATGTTTTTTAAACCTTTATCATTTATAAGCGTGCAAGTCAGTGGATGGCTGTGTTTTGCATGATTTGATATTTGGAAAACTCAAAAAGAGATAGCATTGCTTAGGGTGCTATATGCTTGGGGTTTCATCCCTGTTCCCTTCTAACCCAGTTTGCTCTTTTAATGCATGTCAAATGTTTCTCCCATTCTTTCAGCAGAAAGATTTTACCTATAAGTAGGGCATTTTTCTTTAAAACCAATGATGTTCAGTGGTGCATACTCTGTGTCTGTGTCTTGTATTTCTACTTCAGTCATGGTGTCTTGTTTTATGGATTTTTTTATTTCAAAAATTTGCAAATTAATAAGAAACTTAAAAGCAATAGTACAGGGCACCAAAGAGGTTTGATTCCCAGTCAGGGCACATACTTAGGTTGTGGGTTTGATGAGGGCATGCACATCTCACATCGATGTTTCTCTTTCCCTAACTCTCTCTAAAATCAATAAACATACTTTCACGTGATAATTTTTTAAAAAAGCAATAAGCAGTAGTACAGGGAATACCATATAACCCTCTCCTGGAGTTATAGAATGTTAATATCATGTCCCCTTTGCTTTTAATTGTATAGATTTTTAAAAATTTTATTAAAACTATAAATTTTTAAAAGTTTTTTAAAAAATATATTTTATTGATTTTTCACAGAGAGGAAGGGAGAGGGATAGAGAGTTAGAAACATTGATGAGAGAGAAACATCGATCAGCTGCCTCCTGCACACTCCCTACTGGGTATGTGCCCACAACCAAGGTACGTGCCCTTGACCGGAATCGAACCTGGGACCCCTGAGTCCGTAGGCCGATGCTCTATCCACTGAGCCAAACCGGTTAGGACAAAGTTTTTTAAATTAACAATCATCCAAAGTTATCATTCATTTCAACACTTATTGTAGTGTGATTGTATCTGATTTACATTTAAAGTGGCAGGTTTTATGGGATTTTTCTTCACCCCAGATATAAAAATAGGATTTTAGAGTTCATTTCCCAAACCCCACACTAAAACTATAGACCCACCATCTTTTATGTAGCCATGGAACCTCATCTTTCTAGAATGGTACTTGTTGAAATGTGTCTGAACATTACCCTATTGCTAAAGACTGTTAAAGGGATTATGTAGAATTTGTTTATCAGGACTCATATCTTTCAGCTTAACCTAAAGCATTGAAATTTATACTCCTATGACAAGCTAAAATTTAAAGAGTCAAAAAGTTCTTTTGAAACAGCCTACTCACCAAAGAGTCACAGGTTCGATTCCCCGTTAAGGGGCATGTACCTGTGTTGAAGGCTTGATCCCCAGCCCTAGTTAGATTGTGTGTAGGAGGCAACCAATCTATGTATCTCTGTCACATCGATGTCTCTCTCTCTCTCTCTCTCTCTCTCTCTCTCTCTCTCTCTCTCTCTCTCCTCCCTCCCTCCTCCCTCCCACTTTCTCTAAAAATCAATAGAAAAAAATTCTACACACACACACACACAGGAAGCCCATACTACATTCAGGAGGGGCAAAACACAGGTACTTTGGGAAAGATTAAGAAGTTATTTAAATTGTTTCATGTCAGTTATTAAACACTAATTTCTTTTTACTGTCATTTAAGAGCTTCTGTAGGAATTTATTATAACTCATTCACAAATGAATCCCTGAACATAAATAAACTGAAATTTTTTGATAGGATTATTCTAGTTAATAAAGTATTGCAAGAAGTTTCAATATTACTTATTAAGGACAAGTTGACAAAAATATTGCTTTCTTTTATAGACAATTACCAGACAATGGTAAACAGCCCCTCAGCCTTGTGAATGTGAAAGTTATTGGTCTCTAAATGTGTATTTGTGTCATTCGTCAAGTATAATTCACTTAAATGAAATAACATAAATGGGTTTTCTTTTGTAGTTATTTGGGGACGTGAAAGCCATGTTTTTAGTTTATTTCATTTGTAAGATCAATTGAACTGGATTTTTCCAGTTACTTAAAAAAATACAAATAATTTCTCATTATGTTAAATATAAAATACATGCAACACTGTTTCATGGTAAACATGGTTACTGTTAAGTTTACTCTTTTTAATGTGGGCATGACTGGATGCATTTGGAACTTGTCATATACCACCATTAAAATCAGCCATTCCAAAAGCAATGCCTCCTCTCCACAAATTATTCTTTTTTTCACTAGCTACCAGCACTCAAATGTTAACTTTAGTAGTTGATGTGGTGTTGTGTGTGAGTAGTGATTAAAAAATACAAGATTAATTCCCTAGGCAGAAATGTCTGACAAGAGCAGGAAATATAGCAGAGGTTATACAAAAAGACTTAGACAAAGGGCGTTAGAAGGAAGCAGTTTAATAGCCAGTATTGAGTTCTAGGGCATTACTAGCTTTCCTTTGCTGAGGGAGAAGAGCAGTTTTCCAGTCAGGTTTTCTACTCAACGGCCACAAATACAGGATCTGCTACTTGCTGTGGTTTACATGTGGAGGGCACAGCAGAGGGAAAAGGGAAGCCTCTCCCCACTAGATACTGAGCGCTGTCTCCACAGTCCTCTCACCTCACCCGCTTGAAAACCCTGATTTAGCCCCCTTTCAGATGAAACAGCCTAGAAAGTAGCAAAATTGACCTCAGATCATTCTTCAAAGCTTGAGAGCTTTACATATCTTTTATAAGCCTGCTTGTCAAATAATTTTTTTAACATGTGCTATCTTAAAAGTTTTCAGAGCTTGTCATCAAAATATTGATTTAATTTTTTTTTTGATGCACTAAGGTCCAAACTAAAATGAGTTATAACTATCAGACAAGACTGTTCTCATTACTGTAGATGATAGGATTGTCTAAAAAGCTCAGGAATCTTGTTTTGGGATTAATATGAAACTAGCAAATACCTCCAGATATCCAAAAAATTATGTTTTCCCATATTTAAGTAAAAAAAAAAGTTTTAAGATATAATGGAAATATGTTCCCTTTCATCATAGCAATAAGCTCTGTAAAATGTATTGGGGTCCAAGACAGGCTGTCTCAGATATCCCACAGTGGCATATTGATTACTTGGAATTAAATTTACTTGATAAGCAGCTGGTGCCCGAGGGGCACCTTGACCCACCCCTGTCACCTTGAATGCTAGAAAGAAATCTCCCATGTGAAAGTTTTCCTGGCTGCACCTGGAAGCTCACCCTCCCCAACCTCCTTCCAAGGTGTTAACTCAGAGCTGAAAAGTTTGTATAATCAAATGACTATATATACACACAAAGCAAGGTATTAACCCTATAATAGACTCCCTCTTAACACAGGGTATATTGCTTTTTATTTCCTCACCGTGTACATGTTTAATTTTGCCAGTGAAGAAAGAAGGCAAATTTGATTCAGCTAAGACTCAAATTTCTTGATTTGTATGAGACCTAAGAGCCATTCACTCTCGTAATTCCTTGGCACCTTACAGTCCCAAATCTGACTACTATTCTCACCTCAATTCCTGCTAATGCAGCCTGGTTATAGTAGTTGACCACGGCTCAGCTTTCTTTTCGATCCCTTTGCACCCCAGCTCACAATTTTTTTTTTTGCATTTACATTTGCATTTACAGTTACCATGGACTAGCATACCTCAGGGATATTGTGAGTCTCCCTCAATATTTTCCCAAATCCTTAAAGCCAACTTAGATTCTGCAACCTTTACCCAAAGCTTCATGCTATTGCAATATATTATTGACCTTTTGCTCTGGACTCAAACTGAGCAGGAAACTCTTACAGATTCCCTCACGCTCTCTCTTTTCATCTTCACCAGAGGA